CTGGAGTACCAGGAGAAAACCCACGCATGCACGGAGAGAACATGCAAACTCCACCCAGAAAGGCACCTGGACCGGGTTTGAACCAGGGACCTGTTCGCTGAGAGGCAGCAGCTCTACCAGTTGCGCCACCGTGCTGCCCAGCTGACAACCTATTTATTGATTTTTTAATTAAAAGCTTTGTGTGAAAAATGCTATGCTAAAGCGCTCGAACCACACCGAGCGTCCGCCATTTTGAGAACCAAAGAGCGACTGTTCATGTCACGTCAAGGAGCCTCCCTCCCATTTTTCTTAAAGAGACACGCCGCTCGCTCCCTCACTATCCATCCTTCAGTTCAAACAGTCTTATACTGCCATCCAGTTGTTGAAAAAATGTATTACACTCAAAACAGATAACCAACATTTCTTCTTAAATTTGACAATTACTAATTATTGTCAAATTTCAAACAATATTATCGTTTATCACAATAATTTCGGAGACAATTAGTCACCCAGCTAAATTTGTTATCATAACAGGCCTAGACACATACGACGATGACAACATTTAGCAAAAATACACAATGTAAACACAATTTCATTCCACCTCATGTACCACATGCAATGTGAATGACAATAAAGGACCTTGAACATTGAACATTGAAATAAAAATAAAAAGAGTAAATAAACTTGTGCAGGACACATCAACACCTACTGTTCAGAAGGAGAACTGCTCCTGTAAATAACAACAAACTCTCAAAAGCAATAAATTAATATTAATCTAATAATCCAGGAAAAAAAATGTGTTTTATTATTTGTAATGCTAAAATACATTTAGCTGCTTGCTGCTAAATTACAGAGTATGAAATACATCTGTTGATGTCATGTGTATTCTTTTTTCCATCCATCCATCCATCCATCCATCCATCCATCCATCCATCCATCTTTTACCCGCTTCTTCCATTTTTGGGTCACAGGGGTCGCCGGTGCCCATGTCCAGCAATCACTGTGCGAAGGGTGGGGTACACCCTGGACAGGTCGCAAGTCCATCACAGGGCCACATAGAGACAAACGAGACAAACAACCATTCACTCTCTCACTCACACCTAGGGACAATTTAGAGTTACCAATCAGCCTAACATGCATGTTTTTGGTCTGTGGGAGGAAACTGGAGTACCCGGAGAAAACCCACGCATGCACGGAGAGAACATGCAAACTCCACCCAGAAAGGCCTCCGGACCGGGATTTGAACCGGGGACCTGCTCGCTGAGAGGAAGCAGCTCTACCAGTTGAACCACCAGTTCCCTTAAGCCCAAATTATTTGTGTATTATTATTTTTTGTGAGTCAGGTTTTATTAAAGTGTTTTGCAAATTTGAAACCTATTTGTGAGCAGCTATTTAGTTTAAGCAAGTAAATTAGTTTCAAAAACTGACATAAACCATTTTTTTGTTTTGCCGTATGTTGTATCTGAATATGGCGGCATGGCAGACAGTGGTTAGAGCTGTTGCTTCACAGCAAGAAAGTCGCCTTTTTGCTTGGAGACCATTCTGGGTGGAGTTTACATTCTCCATGTGCATTTGTGGGTTTTTCTGTGGGTACACGAGTTTTTCTCCCACAGACACAACAACATGCATGCTACATGGCAACTCTGCATTGTCCCTAGGTGTGAGTGTTTGTCTTTTTTATCTGTCTCCTTGTTGGACTTGAGACCTGTCCAGTTAGTACCTTGTCTGTCGCAGAGTGACTGCTGACGAGTGGCATCAGCTATTCCATGACCTGGGAAGTAAAAATTGGGTGAAGAAAATGGCTTGATAAATGTCAGTGTGTTAGAGCTGAATAATACTGTATTACATCGGTGTTAGCTGCTGTTAATTAATGAATCAGGTTGTTGGTTGTGTATCAAGATACAAACTGTAACTGCCACAAACCAGAGATGCACAACTCCACAGTGCGTATCACATTGATGATTGTGTATACAGTCTGGCCAGCAGTCTTCACACTTTTTCTGCAGGCTGCTGCCACATGGGCCTCTGTTCCAGTTTAGTACCAAACAATTAAAAGGAAAAGCTGCTATTAGATGTTTCATAATTCATTGTAATTCAATACCTAACACGCGCTGACTGAAATACATATCGACACAGCACCCTGTAATGCAGACCTCAGCTGTTCCTGTTTGTTGCTCAGGTAATAAGTTACACAAGCAGGCTTGTACTGGAAGCAGATCTGCTGCGTCAGAAAGTGAAACGTTCACCTCTCATATTCCATATCCTTTTTGTTTTGGCCTGAGTTCATATGTTGTTCTTGGATCTCCACTTAATCCATGACATGCTCCAGTTAATTCACTTTATATAGTAATCAGAGAGAACAAGACTTAACCTCAGCATCCCTGGAGTTTTGCTCAAGTTGTGCAGTTTTTAGATACAGCATGTCCTATTTATAATATGAGTGTTTTATTTTTAGTTTAGCTGCTTTTTCTAGTTATCAGTCAGTGGTTTTGTGTGGGAGGCCTACAAGACCTGCACACAAAGGATATATATGAGTAATGAGTAAAATATATTGCAGCGTAGAGGCCTCAGGTTGTGCAGGTTCATCCTGCGTCAACAGGGACGAGGAGAGCCAGTGGCCTTGCACTGATGCACCTCATCAGGGCATATGACAGATATCAGGTGCCAATCAGGTATCGACAGGGTGGAGAGCCTCAGAATAGTGCACTAAACAGGCCATAATCCTTAACAGCAGTCAATTGCATTCATGGCAGCGGTGATGCTTTTAGACAGAGGTGGGGTTAAGGCATGGTACATGTAAGCTGGGTACCTTGGCAGAAAAGGAAGCAACATTTTTTGTTGATCAGGTTCAGAAATCACTCTATTCTTGGCACATGCAGGGCCACCTGCATCATGAAGGACTCCACTCACCCAGCACACACATTTTTTGCCCCGCTCCCCTCATGAAGGAGGTTGTGGAGCATTAAGTGTAGAACCACTAGACTGAGGAACAGCTTCTACCCTGAAGCTGTTAGACTAATGAATCCCTAACCAAGATAATCACTGTATTGAAAAGTAAAGAAAAATGACTATAATGTCACTTTAATTGGCGATATATGACTTATCTGTGCTGATTATCCATGCTGCTGATCTCATGCTGCTAATTGTCTCATGCTGCTCTATTCATTCGTACCCATCTGCTCACGACAGATTCATATTCAGGCTGCTGTTGTTATGCTATATTGTTTTACATTATTAGTGTTTAGCATACAATATATTAGATATTTTAGTGTACCATTTGGCATTTGTTTAGCGTATATCTTAGTGAATATCTTGGATTTACTGTTTCTTTTTATACCTTATATGTTGATATTTTTTGGGCGTAACTGAGACCCTGTATACATAAATTCGTTCCACCTCATGCACCAAATATGATGCAAATGACAATGACGTTGACTTTAAATTGACTTGACATCGTTGCAAGCCCAGAAGTGTTTGGTGATTGTACACCAGTAAGGGCTTGACATGCTGATTAATAACACAGTGATCCCTCGCAATGTTGCGGTTGACTTTTTGCGCCGTCACTGTATTGCAGGTTTTTTTAAACCCAGTTTTTATATTGTGTATACTGTACATGCTGTGCACTACTGTATATTAATCTCATTGTTATCATATTCATCACGATTGCCAAAGTGTTCAAGAGCATACGAATAAGAGAGTGGGAAAGGTTAATAAGAGTGTGGGAAGGGTTAATGTGAGAAGGGTTTATAAAGCCGTATACATACATACATACATATATATATATATATAATCAAATAAATATAACGCTGCTACTTTGCAGGTTTTCACTCTTGGATAATTTAATTATCCTATCATCAGCTCATTAAATATACAAGCCACACAGGAAAAGAGAAGATCTTTCTTCACCCCGAATTTTGATCTTGCCAGATGGAGCAGCATTGAATAAGATGTCTTAACATAACATCAAGATGTTACATGGCTATGTCTTCTAAGGACTGCTCACAGGCGGTATAAGGAAGTGTCTTTTGATAATGGTTATCAGACAAAAGCGAGGCCAGACAACTCTGCTTTCCAGCTTAGGGCCTTGAGTTTCTCCAGAGAAAGGCTCCATGCTTCTGCAGGCTCCACTTTACAAAGACAAAACAACACTAACGCACACACATGGTTATATACCGGTAAGTTATATAACATTTGACATTAGTAAGTGAAAAAACATCTATGACCTTTATATCCCCAAACATTCAGCTACCATGGGGTGAGTCTGGAACGTAACACCTGCGATAAGGGAGGGATCACTGTAATCCAAACAGCCCAACAACAAAATAAATGACCAGTTGCAGAAGGCGTGCCTCACATACGGCACCATCTTCACACAAAAAGTTCACCAAACTTTAGCACAGTATATGTAAAACTGACTGCTTGTTGTGTTTTCAAAGCTCATTTGACCATGGTAACCATTTCGATTTGAGCTGGCTCCAATTGTTCATCAGGTACACACAATGAATATTTGCTGGAAGTTTTAATAAAATCTTCTTTATTGGTTCATACGATATTTTACTAATGGATAAAGTTGACGCCAAACAATTAAAGGCAAATTTTGAAGCAGAAATTTTGCTCAATAGGTTTCCAACCGAAATATGTGTGTGTTCAGTCCCATTTACTAACATGTTAAACTTGAGGTCAGTATCACTAAAACACAATGAATTATAGTCATTTTGGGGTTTTTAAAGGTTAGCTGTCTGCGGCAGCCATCTTGAATCATGCTGACTTGTAAACTTAATTGCCTGCAGATGTACATTCAATGATTATTATCTGCAAGTTTTACTAAAATGCTTCTATTGGGTTATGAGACATTATGGTAATAGGCACACAAACATGAGGAAGACGACTGCCTGCTTTCAACAAATCTTTGTTTATTTAATGCTTCTCAGGATTTTTTTTCATTTGGCAGTATTTCTGTTTTTTTGTATCCCTGGCCAAATTCTTCTTTTTGCTTTTTCCTCCTACATCTCCTCTCTTAGCTCCTGTATTCGACTACGAAGACATTCCCTCTCCGCTGAGCGAGTCAGAGAGTACTATCACTGTTCTTCTTCGCCCTGCCCTGGGGAGAGGAGCTCCTGTCAGGTACAAAAAGAATATGCTCCGCACCTATGCCGGCGCTCATTCAGTGCTTCTCCATGCTCTGGTATTTATAGCTGTAGTCAAAAAGAGCTCTGTGAAGCAGCAGCAATCAGTTTGTTCAGCTTGTACCACAGCAAGAGGTAAAAAAAAAAATCTAAAAAGTATTATGTCATGCTAATCCAAGTGGCAAGTCTTTAAAGTTACAGGATTTATGCAGCAAATATAAACCACCATGGTGATAAGAAAATACACTCTTGTATATATCTGGGTGACATAAAAAACAACCTGGGCCCTATAGACCTGAATATATACTCAGATAAACAGCAATGCACATGTTACACTGAGTCATTCAACAAAAAACAAGCCAATGTGGTTTAAAAGCAACATGAATGTTGTTTGCAGAATGATATTATTTACTGTTAATAACTCTCAGTAGTTGTGTGTATATTTTTATCAGTCACACAGTTTTGTGTGTTTAGAATCGGAGTACACAGAAACAACCCCAGATCTGAAAAGGTTGTGACATAAAGTAAAAAGTAAAGAAATAAATAGAATGCCATGATTTGCAATTTTCATAACCCCATGTTTTATTACAAATGAACCTAGTATACATACTGAGAAACTGTTGTTGTTGTT